GAGGTGAGTGGATTGCCTGAGCCCGCGGGTTCGAGACCCACCTGGGCAGCGAGACCTCATCTCTACAATAAGTCAAAAAATCAGCCGGGCCTGGTGGCGTGTGCCTGTAATTCCGGCTACTTGGAAGTCTGAGGCGGAAGGATTGCCGGAGCCCAGCAGGCGAGGCTGCAGTGGCCGGGAGTGGCCACTGCACTCCAGTCTGGGCGACAAGAGTGAGACTCCAACTAAAAAAAAAAAAAAAAAAAATTTGATCCTGCTAGCTTGCTTTTTCCTTCTTCCTCAATAAGATTATTACATAATTTATTTTTACTTCCTTAAAATCAAAGCTAAATGTGTAGTTTAAAATAATCAGTTCTACAAAATTTGTTATGAAAAGCAGTAGTCCAGGTTCTGGTTCCCAATAAGATGGAGTAAGCAAACTTCACCCTGTCTCTCCCACTGAATGCAGCTATAAAACCTGGACAGAATGCTTGGAGTAACTATTTGAGGACTCTGAAAAGATAAATAGTAGGAGGCAGATTGGGGAAGAAGTCCAGAATTCAGAGTACCACTGAACCAGCGGTGAGTTTGTCATTTTTTTTCCTTCCAATATGCCCCAGCCTGAACTTAATGTATCGTGAAAATTGGAAGTGAGCATTAACATGGTCAGAAGAAGCACCAGGAGAAGTCCTCTAGTTCTGACTCAAGGAGCAAGAAAAGGGTCTCCTAATATCCAAAGAGAGTGTGGAAATTTCACATTTTTCTTCTTCATCTTCTTTTTTTATTTCCTTTTCTTCATTCTTTTGCACCCAGGCCCCAGACGATCCTCGCAGTGACTGCAGTGGCCTCAGTGGGAGCAGGAAGTAACTACAACTTAGAGGGAGAGGACCCATCCTCTTAGACTGGTGGATCTGTGGTCTGAAGAGAGTGGGGCACTTCCCCCGTTGCTTTTTTTCTTCCTCTTCCCTTCTGTTGCTTGGCCCTGATATGGGAACAGTCATGAGAAGTACCCTGCAGAGTGGAGTTAATAAAGCCCCAGCTTTCTGCTGGAGGACTAGCAAAAGGGAGTCCCAGGGAACTGAAAGATTGCAGAAGAGGGAGAAGCTTGGGAAACTGACCACTTGAAGTTCCTTATGGACTCCCAAACTATGCATACATGAGTCTGATCCTAAACAGCATATATGGACATTGAGAAATGAATTGTGGGAAACTGCCTGGGGCACTTATGGAACATGTTCGATATAACTGCAAAGGCTTTGAAAACTGAACTGCCATTAGAATTACAACCTACAGAAGGCTGGTCAGAACTTGAAGCTTGAATTCAACTGGGTTAATTACTGGCTAAAGCAAAAATACCAACATTCTTGGTGGGACTTTAATGAGACCAAAGTTTCATAATGTAATATTCAAAATGTCCAGTATACAATCTAGAATCACTCAACTTAAAAAGAACCAGACAAATCTGGATTCACATGGAAAAAGAAAGAATATAGATGCCAGTGCCAGAAACATATAGATGCTAAAATAAAGTCTTTCATTCTGCTATAATGACCATGCTCCAGGAATGAATGGGAAAATAAAAACTCTCAGCAAGGAAATGGAAGATATAAAGGAGAACTAAATGGTATTTTTTGACCTGAGAAGTAAAAAAAACAGAAATGAAAAATGAAACACTCAATGAATGGGCACAATGGATATGATGGATAAAGTACTCAGTTCAGTTGAGGGAAACTGCTAGGGGAGGGAGGGGCATGCCTCATCAACAAGGGTATCTGGATAATCAATGTTTGTATACCTAACCATGAATTGTACTCCACATCTTTATCAAAAAAAAAAAAAGGAACCCTGAAACAATAAGGCTCAGAGAGCCTCTGAGTTGGTAAACTCATACATGTGTTGGGAGCCTAGAAAGAGTGTGAAGGGCCTTGTGGCCCCAACATTGCCCTGTACATCTCTTCCATTTGGCAATTCCTGAGTTGTATCCTTCATAATAAAACTGTAGTCACAAATAAAAAAGAAAAACACTCAGCGAACGTCAAAACTGCTCAACAGAAATGACCTAATTTGAACAATGGATAAAAACATTTAAAAAATAAACAGAGCCTCAGAAACTTATGAGATAATATCAGAAGATCTAACATTTATGTCATCAGAAACTCAGAACAAGAAGATAATGAGTTTGGTGCAGCAAGAATATATAAAGAAAGAATGGCATAAAGACTGAAAAGGAAATAAAGCTATCCCTGTTTGCACATGGCATGATTATCTATGTAGAAAATGCCAAGGAATCCACAAAAAATGTTTCTAGAGTAAATGAGTTTAGCAAGTAATACAAGATCAGACCACAGATAGCAATCATATTTCCACATACTAGCAATGAACAACTAAGAACTGAATTTTTAAAAGTGATAATAGCTCCAAAAAATGAAACAGTAGTTAAGTATAAATGTAACAAAATATCCATTATCTCTATGCTGAAAACTATAAAAGCCTGATTAAAGAATAGATATAGGCCGGGCATGGTGGCTCATGCCTATAATCCCAGCACCTTGAGAGGCCTAAGTGAGAGAATTGCCTGAACCCACGGGTCCAAGACTCACCTGGGCAACTTGGCGAGACCTCGTCTCTCCAATAAATCAAAAATTAGCCGGGCATGATAGTGCATGCCTATAGTTCCAGCTACTTGGAAAGCTGAGGCAGAGGGATCACTGGAGCCGAGCAGGCCAAGGCTACGGTGGCTGGGAGCGTGCCACTGCACTCCAGTCTGGGTGACAGAGTGAGACTCCAACTTAAAAAAAAAAAAAATTAGCCGGTGTGGTGTCATGTGCCTGGAGTTCCAGCTGCTTAGAAGACTGAGGCAGAAGGATCGCCTGAGCCCAGCAGGTTGAGGCTACGGTGGCCCTGAGCATGCCACTGCACTCCAGCCTGGGCGACAGAGTGAGACTTCGACCCCAAAAAAAGAGTAGATATAAATAAATGGAGAGATGGATTGGAAGATTCACTACAGTGGAGACATTGATTCTCCCCCAAATTGATTTATAGATTTAATGAAATAATAATAATGCCAGCAGTGATTTTTGTAGTTATTATAGACAGGTTGATTCTAAAATTTCTATAGGAAGGCAAAGGACCTAGAATAATCAAAACAATTTTGAAAAATAAAAATAATGTTGGAAAAAAATTAAACTATACAGATAATTTATTTTAAATGTTCTCACCACTAAAAATGGTAAATACGTAAAGTAATACATGCACATGTTATTAGTTTGATAGAGCCATTCCACAGTATACACACGTTTCAAAACATCATGTTTATACAATAAATATGTATAATTTTTGTCAGTTAAAAATAAAATATACTGTAAGTAAAAAAAAAGAAAAGCTACATGATTTTTAAACTTAGTACAAAATTGTTGTAATCAAGACTGTGATGTTAGCAAAGGGATAGACATAGGTCAGTGGAATAAAATAGAGATTTTTGAAGTAGATCCACATAAAGCCATTAATTTTTTAGAGTTGCAAAGACAATTCAGGAGAAAAGGAATGGTCTTTTCAATAAATGGTATGGGAACTATTGGATATCCATATACAACAATAACAAACCTCAGCTTAAACCACACACATTATGCAGAAATTAACTTAAGATACATCATACATCTTAAAGTGATATATAAAACTACAAAACTTTTAGAAGAAAACATGGAGAAAATCTTTGTAACTTGGGATTAAGCAAGAAGTTTGTCGGATTACACCAAAGCATGATTCATAAAAGAAAAAAATTGATGAATTGGACTTTATTAAATTAAAAAACTTTGTTTGTAGAAGACACTATTAAGAGAATGAAAAGGCAGGTTATAGACTGGAAGGAAATATTTGCAAATCACCTGCTAGAACTTATATTCAGAATAAGTAAAGCACTCTGAAAACAGTCAGAAAACAAGACATTTACTTAAAAATATTTAATAAGCTTTGACAAGTACTTCAAAGAAGACATAGAGTGTTAAATCCGCTTATGAAAAGATGTTTAACATAATTAAACATCAGGAGAATTCAAAGTAAGATACCACTGCATACCATTAGAATAGATTAAATTAAAACTGTTGACAATACCATGTGCTGATGACCACCCTCACTCATTGTTCATAGGGATCCAAGATGATACAGCATCTCTGGAAAACAGTTAAATATATACTTGTTTACCACATGGTAAATTTGGACTTACTGTGTGACCCAGCAATCTCACTCTCAGGCATTTAACTGAGGAATGAAAATTAGTGTTCATACCAAAACATGAATTTGTATATCAGCTTTATTTTTAATTGTTGGCATATGTCCTTCAAAGTGTAAATAGAGAAATAAACCTGTTATATCCATATAATGGAATACTACTGAGTAATAAGAATGAATTATTGAAACACACAACAACTTAGATAAATCTGAAAAGCTTCATGTTGAGCAAAAGAAACTAGTCTCAAAAGGCTACATACTGTATGATTATATTTATATGACTTTTTGAAAAGACAAAACTATAGTGATGAAGAACAGATCAGTGATTGCTGAGGGTTGGGTTAGAGGGAGGATGTGACTACCAGGGAATGGTATAAGGGCGTTTGAAGGGTGATAGAATTGTTTTGTCTGCTGATTGAAAAGTAGGGTTATATGGATCTACACATATTAAATGTATGAACCTTATAGCTTGAGGTTTTACGTTTAGGTCTTTGATCCATTTATAGTTGATTTTTGTGTATGGTGATAGATAGGGGTCTTGTTTTAATCTTCTGCATTTGATCAGCCAGTTTTCCCAGCACCATTTATTGAATAGATTCTTCTCTCCCCAGTGGTTGGTGGTGGTGGCTTTGTCAAAGATGAATTGGTAAGAAATTGAGGTTTTGCTTCTGGAATCTCTATCCTGTTCCATTGGTCTATATGCCTGTTCTTGATTATATTGTAGCTTTATAATAAAGTTTAAAGTCTGGGAGTGTAGAGTGGCACCATGGATTCGGTTGCAGGTCCTTCTTGAGATGATCATGAACGTGCAGCTCGCCATCTTTGCCAACATGCTGGACGTGTCGCTCTTCCTGCTCATCCTCCTCTACCATTATGTGGCCATCAACAACCCCAAGAAGCAGGAGTGAAAGTGGCGTGTCCCCCAGGACTCCAGGACATAGTCTGAGGCAAGATGAAGGGTATAAGGGGTCCTTACACTTCACCTCATCCCTCCTGCCCATCACAAAACACAAAGCAAGTATGCCTAAATTTTCCAAACAACTTTTATTTCCTGAGTCTTCCCTAACCCAATGGAACAAGAAGCTGCCACTGAGCAGGGCCAAGTAGAGGGGCTGTTTTCTTTTTATCCCCACCCCCCCACCAAAAAAAGTCTGTGAGTGTGATACCTCCTGCTTTGTTTTTTTGCTGAGGATTGTTTTGGCTATATGTGATTGTTTATTTTTCCATATGAATTCCTGTATTGTCATTTCCAGGTCTGAGAAGAATGCTGCTGGTAATTTAATGGGTATTGTGTTAAATCTGTAGATTAGCTTGTGTAGGATGGACATTTTAACAATGCTGATTCTTCCAATCCATGAGCATGGAATATTTTTCCATTTGTTTGTGTCATCTTTGATTTCTTTGAGCAGTGTTTTGTAGTTTTCTTTTTTTTTTTTTGAGTCGGAGTCTCACTCCGTCGCCCAAACTGGAGTGCAGTGGCCGCTCCCGGCCACCGCAGCCTCGACCCACTGGGCTCCAGCGATCCTTCCACCTCAGCCTTCTGAGTAGCTGGAACTATAGGTGTGCGCTACCATGCCCGGCTCATTTTTGATTTACTGTAGAGACGAGGTCTCGCCAAGTG